AATTACACACGACGTCAGACACACTTCGTGATAGTGAAGGATGTCACCGGATTTAATTCGGCGGTTTGTCGGTGCTCGAGCGATCGAAACCGTACCAAGAGTGACAGAGACAAGAGTGCTTCGTGAGTTACCTAGCGGTCGGAACCCGTGATGAGAGGGGTTGAGGTTGCGAGCAGGGGGAGGCTGAAAGGGGAGGAGAAATGCTCCTCTCTCGTTCTGTGTTGCCCCGGGTACAACAACGATGTTTTGCGATGAGGGATGGACGGATGTGACGTCACGGGAGCTCACGCCGTGATCTATGGCGGCTGATAATGAAAGCGCAGAGGTGAGATACCGCGATGGAAACTATACCATATAAGCTATAGTTTCCGCGGGAGCCGTCACACGGCAATGCCGCAGCATTCAACCACTCTCTCCCCCTCCCTTTTGCGTCAACCAACCCCTGTTACCTCACCGCCGTTTCCTCCCGCAGCTCATCGCGAAATTATATCTTCACAATAGGGGATTCGACGCGGTGACGATAAAAGCTTGAATTATGAATATCGGTTAATTCACGTTACGCATTCGGGAACCGCGATATGGATGATCTGGCGCGAACGTTACTTTATGACGCGGTCGCGCGATCCCGCTCGCGCCGCTTCGATGGCGAACGCGCGAATACTTGCAATTATCGTGGTATGCAATATGCCGCAAGCTCCATTCGACCCACTATAGCAGCTGGAGGTCCGGTAATGCGCGCGGTATGTCGATGTCACGTGTAGTGAATATGAGCAATAATAGTTTATAACAAATAGTTTGCAGGGTTTTACGCGGCATGTTGCGTAATAAAGGAACTGTAAATACGATAAAGTTTTCCTACAGCAATTGGTTGGTTATGGCATACAGCTTCAGATGTGAAATCAAAAGTAAACATATATCTTAGTTTCAATTTGTTTAAAATTAATTGGTCTTTTTTTCACATTGGTCACTTTTCGTGAACTAGCAATCCCATTTGAGATCACCCTTTTTTATTTTGTAAACTTCTCACTTGTATGAAACTTGACCTATGAGGTAATTTAATAACACGTTATTTAAATCTGAAGTAAAAAACAAAAATGATGGGTTTATAGCGGGCAGAATTAAAAAAAAAAAGATTTAATTATTACAAAATTCGGTGTTTTAGAGAATTTTTAATTGCGAAGTATAACATCAAGTTTCCAGTTTCGTTTTATTTGTATCTCATCAGTGCTATGCAAACAGTGATTATTGACTTGAATTAGTTTAATTATTAAGTTTCAAATTTTGATTACTGTGACACTATCTTCCTTCATAAAGATTATTACCTTTTTGAAATTTGATATTTTCAGGCTACATTCAAACTCAGTACCAAAGAATCTTTTAAAACCAACCTTTCACGATAATCAGATTATTTCTTTGAAATTTTTAGAGTTCTGAAGCCAGAATCAAATTCAGCGATCCTAAAAACTCTTAGAAAATAAAATCTTCTAAGTTACGTTATTAAGCTCCGATCCTCAAAGGGTTAATAAGAATCAAGACCTACTTCCGAACTACTTTATTTAAATGAAAAGTTCTTAAAAGAATTCATATGCTTTGTTTATATGTATAATATATACAGCAATATATATAATAATACAAATATATTTATAGATTAATCAATCCTTTAATCAGCAAAGTTTTCAATTCAAAATATAATGGTTTATTTGTCTCTTTTAAATAAATTATTTGTTAAAATAATTGATAAAAAACATGATATATTATGCAAAAAATTATTCTCATATTTCTTTATTTATCAATTTTGATATAAAAAAGTCAGATCTAGTTATGTACATTACATTAAATTAAATTTTATTAAATTAAATTAAATTATATTTAATGTGGAGAAAATAATTATAATTAACAAATAAAGTTTATGCAAGTTAAATCAATTTATTCTATCAATCTGTTTTATACGGTTTTAATTTCTTTCTTTCCATATCTCTACTTTTTGTATGCAGAAGAGAAACACGTAATCAATATATAATAATTAAGAAGAAAACAAATACCTTTATTAATTTTACACAATTACTTTTAATAATATACTCTTAATATTTAGAAAGTTTTAAATTATTATAAAATAGATTAGCTTATGTTTGAATATTGATTATTTAAAATGAATTAACAAAAAATATCAAAATTAATAAAATTTATTTAATAAGAAATATTAAGGAATAAATAAACAACGTAATAAATTCATTCAAACAAAAAATATTTATATATAATATTTAAAAAAGATAAATGTTTACTAAATTTTTTAAAATTTAATTTTGTAAAAAAATAGAGCAGAGCTTTATTGTATCATAAATATTTCAATAAACTGCAACACAAATTACAAATATCAATCTCATTTAAATTCATAATATTAAAATTGAAGTAGACTAGAGAACTGATATATTTAATTATTTCTCGCAATAAATTAAACTTATTTGTTATTTATAATTATATTGAAATAAAATAAAAATAGAAATAATGCGAGACCTTACGAATAATATAACGAGTGTATACTTCAACATGGAATTTAATTTGAAAATTGTTTGACACAAAGCAGAATCATCAATAATAAATGTTAGCTTAAATTATAAAATTTTACATTAATATAATCTAGAGTTCTTATATGTGACAAAAAATTTTACATTAATATAATCTAGAGTTCTTATATGTGACAAAATAGATAAAAATTAGAATTACTCATTAAAATGTAAATTCGTGCGTGCAAATTTTATTCAAGTGGGTCATTATATCTGACCTGTTTATTTTAACATCTTGGTTAAAGTCTGCTTTTAAAACATTTCGCAATTACACAGTTACACAGAAATACAAAGTTATGACGTATTTCAAAACAACTTTCCTAATCGGATTTACATAACTTTCGAAATAAAACAGCTTACATGTTTCCAACTGTTGTAATTATATGAAGCAAAACATATTTTTTTATGATGAGATTTTGTAAAACATTTTACTTAAAAATTTATCAAAAGTTGAAATACGATTATTTAAATTAGTAGAATGCTACATCGATTATTTTAACAATTTTAATATATTCTAGGATTTTGATATATTCTAGTTAGTCAGTTTTAATTAAATTAGCATTTGTGTAATCAGACACATGAAATGTAAGAAAAAACTAATAAAATATTCGATTACTTAACTCAAATTTCTATTAACTACTGGTAATCTCATCACGTAATTTCATTAATAAGTGATCAGACATATTCGTGTTCAAAATTGATATAGAGAAAGTTATTTAATATCGTTGATCCTTAATTGACAATTTTGTAATCAATCGAAAAACTTTAGAAAAATTAAAAAACTCATCAAATAGCAAATAAAATGCAATTGTATATTAGCATGCTTGATACAGATAGACATCACTCTATCTATAGCATAAGAAAGTAAATTCATTTAAATTTTGTTAAATTATTTTTTCGTTTATATATATAATTTCAATTCATATACAAAATTAAGTATACAATATAATCAGAAAAATATTATAGTTAAATACCATGTTTGTATTGTTTATACGATTCGTACCATTACATAATTTTGTAACTTTTATTATAATAAATTTTTATTATAACATTTCGTGGAAAAGTATGCGATCAAAACAAAATGTGGAAGTTTTGTAAAAATTGTTTTGAAGTAATAGATATATATTTAATTTTTTATACAAACTTCAAAATTTTCAAAAAAAAAGATCTCTTTTGTCTTTCAACTAAATCTTTTTGAAGTAGAATCTGTTTCTCAAGTTATTCAAAATAACGTTCGGTTAGTTCAATATAGTATAAGGGTTTCGATATCGCTAGCAAGCCACGGTGATCCTTCTGCTTTTCTTTTCTTCTTGCAGAGGGATGTATATTTCGCGTTAACCCAGAAACTCGCTTGGTACGGGCTTCTCTTATAAGTCGATGAGCTTCCTGAGAACTCATCTGAAACTCGGATTAGGCGGCAACACGAAAAAAATCAGGAGTGTGAGGATGAGGAAAAATAAAGCAACTTGTATCGTGGACGCAAAGAATATGTCCAGCATGCGAAAAAAGTAGCCACGAGACAAGGGTGATAAATTCGATTAAATTAAAGGAAATTTCTAAACGTCTAAACAAAGATTTTCGAAGAAAGCGTTATTATTGATAATTATCTAAGGCGTTTTTTGATATTAAAACGTTAATAATTATAAAAATGTTCAATTTACAAAGGAACTTTACAACGACTGTAATAAATGCGGCAATGTAATTTTATAGTGAAAGCTAATCACGGCGATTTTCAACATAGCGTTGTGTGCTATGCGTTACTTTCAAACAAATTTCGATGCCAATTTCGCCGCAGTGGATTATTGGGAACGATTATTTAACAATCTGTAGAGCCTTTTTAGCATCTAAAGCTTATGAGATTGTTCACATTCTCATTATAACTGATAATTTTAAATGGAAAAGTTAACTTTCCACATTTTTCATTCTTTTACTGATATTTAAATTTTACCTTTCCACGATTAATGTTTAAATGTAAAAGCGGAAAATAATACCTAATTTTTTCACAAATAATTAATCAATATTTAAAAATATGTCAGATGCTTATATTACAAATGCATCATAAATTTAATCAATAAACTTAAACTAATGTACGAGTAAGTCAAATCTTATGCACAGACACAGATTGCAACTGAATCTTATGTAAGTTTAATGGGCTATAAAATTTGAATTTTATCAAAATCAAAATAAATTATTGTCTTGAAAGTGATCAAAGAATCTGTTAAGCTCAAGAATTCGTTGTAGATATCATAAATTACTTCTTTCATATATGTATGATCATATATTATACAAAACTATTACTTTATTATCCGATGACATAATACAATTGGTTATTTTTTTGACACAATATACAGTTTGTTATTTTTTTCAAAAAAGAGAGAAAGTGCTGCGAAAATTTGATAACTTTCTGTATTTTATAATATTAAAGTTTGTGCTTACCTTAATACTGTCATCTGGTGAAGACATAGCTCATCGTCAGGTGAACCAACCAAAGATTAAGGAATGCTCTTGAAACTCCGTTTCCGTCGTGCACAGCGGCTGGCAGTTCACCTGAAATTACATCGGGGTTATTACATCTTTCATCTTATTGTTCAATTTATCAAACGAGGTTAAACGAAGAAGTAATCCGCAGCGACAGACATAATAATTGAAAAGCTAAGAAGAAAAACCAATTAAATTTAAACTCCTATAAAGCCTTGTCTTATTAACCAAGCAACCAAATATCTTTATACTTATACCTATGCACATAGAGAAATTAATGTAAAAAAAATACATTTATAAGTATATAACAAAATAATTTTTCATAAACTTTAAGTAAGATTTCAATATTACTTGCATAGATTAAATAATCTTTGTATTATATGACATTTGCAATTTGATGCGATTTTAATTTTGAAGAATAAAGAGCGTTTGCTTTTACTACTGAAAAGTTTGTGCTTCCAAGTTTAATTGGTTTTCCGTTTCAGCTTTTAGTGGTTAGTCGTCATGTTGGCGCCACAATATGGACATTAGCTATAGTAAAATCATTGAATGCTTCTCGAGTCAAATGGCTCGAAAATCGTGGTGTTAAATATTCGATTTCCGTAGAAAGCCCATACGACGAGCGTGCGCGCGCGTCTCTCGTCAACAAGAACACATTTGTCATTTCATTAATGGTTGTGTTCCGTCTATAGGTTTTCCGTCAGATGCAAGCCGCTGTGGGTTGACGTATTTTCGTGGCCTCTGTTTAATCGCTCTTCGACCGAGTTACGTTTCCCAGATAATGGCTGAGGCCTCCGGGCTTTCGAGAAATTAGGCGGCTCTTATTAATGGCTCTTACAACGTTGTACGCTTCGATATCCTATGTTCAAATATTTACATATACGAATACATAGATATCTATGTATATCTGTAATCAAGATAAAATTAAAATGTTTACGCATAAAATACTTCCATATTGATATTCTTCATATTTCGTCTCGGCTTTTTAAAAAATTAGTAATTTATTTTGGTAATATAATTATATTTTTAATTAAATAATTTATTTAAGATTTATAGTTTTTTAAAATTTCATTCGACTAAAAAAAATATACTGTTGTTCGTAAATGCGATTTTGTCGTATTTCATGAAAAGTTAAGTTAAAAAAAGTTAATAAAAAATTTTTTTAAAATGCAAATTGAGAAAATTAAAAAAGAATTTGTTTTCTCTTTTCTTTTTTTTTGTAAACTAGATCTTTAATTTTAACGTTAAAAATATTTTGTAAAAATGAGTTTTTACATAAGAAATTTGATACCATTGCAAAATATTATTATACTAATTTTTTGAAAAACTAAAAAATAAACTTACAGCTCTATTTCTCTTTTTTTAAAGTCTTTAAAAACTTTTTTATAACTTTTTTACCTTGAACATTTCGTGAGATGCTGAGATGCAAGAAAATCGCAAGCATTCCCGAATTCATGAACGATAGTGTATGTATAAGTTATTTAAGTAATTCAATTATGAATGAGTAATGTAAATTCTTTTTGTGTAAATATACAAATCAATATTGGTAGATGTTATACTGAGTAACAGGGAAGAGGAGGTGTCTAGTTAACTCTACATAGTGGATTTGCGGCAGTTATTTCTGTAATTATTATTGTGATGATCCGAACAAATAGTACTGTTATGCAACGCGTCGTTCATGCGTTGGTCAGGTTTCATGTGTTGATCAAGTTTCTTATACGAACGAAAATGTAAAAATCATCAAAATTTTCTATATCTATGTAGACAATAAATAATAGAGATTTAATTATAGTGGTAAAACTCATTTATTTCATTAATCATGTTTATAATTATGTTTCTTTTTTCACCGTAATATGTTTCGGTATATACGACATAATTCCGA